GTGGGAGGGGGATTTAAGTTAACTAAAAAGTTAGCTTTGCTAACCACCAATCCGCTAACTAAAATACTAGCTACATGAAAGTTAAACCAAAAATAGGACTTTCACTCAGGCTATTTTTAGAACACTGGTCACGTGACTACATCCGCTCAACACTCGTGCGCATAAACAACTCCTCACGCGCTATATGGGTTTCAATAAATACTGGCTTAGCTGTGTTCGTGCCTAAAAATATTCAAGAAAGTGGAATCAAACTCCACCAGGCGGACCACAAAACAGACCTCCACCTCCTGGTGACTCAGGATGCAGCCAATGGACGGATCCATTTTTTTTTTTTTTTGTCACTTTTCCTAAGCTGCAGGCTAACAGCTTGGTGTGGACTTACATCTTCTCCAAAAAATGTATGGAAGGGACGAAAACAGGACCACCCAGATCCCAGCCCTTCACTTTCTGTCCCTGGACAGGTACAGTAAACTTTAAATTGTTTTTAACTGTAGCCTACTGCTAGCTTTACATGTAGCATCCATGCTAGTTTCACACAGTGTTGTACTGCCGTCAGTCTGTGATAATGTTACTACTTACATCAATTTAAACATCACCATAGAGTTTTTTTAAAATGGTGCAGAAGCAGTGCTCCAGTGTAAAAAATGCAAACACACTGGTAAAAACATTTCCAAGTTTCTGGACGACCTGGACCCTGCAGCCAAAGTTTTAACAGTTTTCATTCCTGAAGTCGGTGTGAGCTTGTCTGTGTGTTGAAATTTGTTCAAAAACGTCGTTTTTTTTTGTTACTATACTTGAGATAATGTATGTGTAACTTTACCAGGGGAGATTGCTTTTCCAAAGCCTTCAAGCACGCTAATCCGCTAAGTTAGCATCGCTAGCTGTTAGCAGTGCTGTGCCTACCACTGGTTTTGTGGCCTGCATCTAGAAATTTGTGATATTTGTGGACTACAAGAGCAACAACTAAAAAGTTTTCTTATGAAATCTTCAAATTCTCCYAAATGAGAAGCAAACATTCAAGAAGGATTTGATTTATTGACTGTGGGTGAATGGCTACTGACTGCTTCATTTATTAGTCAATAAAACCATAACTATGAATACTGCTTTGAAAAATCCCGAAATCTTTAAATCTGGGAGCTTTAAACAAACACAAATACTTGGAAGTTTTTAAAATGTCATTTATGGAGAAATATAGCACTAAATTTGGTGCACTTGCAAATAGAAAATAGTTTCAGGTTTTTAATGTCCGTGTATTTTTGTCATTATTATTTGAAATGTCTGCAGCTAACACACTGTTCACTTAATGTTTCACTCCGGCACTGCACAGTGAGCAGCCTGCATGGATAAATCTTTAATTTCTGTCACTGAAGATGTGATTGTATCAGTGAGACAGGCTGAAAAATGGATGACTAAGAGATTTAAAAAACGCCTTATACAAGCTTTACTCAGTATGAGCTTCATCTGACTTCTTGTAAAAAAAAGTTGCCTTTTCTCGCTTGACGCAAATGTTTTTATTTTATTTTAGTTATTTTTTTTTTTGCAAACACCCCTTGGCTGTGAATTAATTCAGCTCGTCTTTTCTCACCAGGTTCACAATGAGCTGGTGAAGTCAACAGAGCACAGCAGCTGGTTGATTTATTCTCCAGTTTATCAGATTTGTTTCTATTTTTTTGGGCAGGTCAGTTTGAGGACGTATCAGATTTTAAACACAGCAGAACATCCTCATTAAATCTGTTGGGATAATCAGCGTTGATTGGCCGTACGGGACAATTTATCTGATGACCCAAAGTCAGAGAGAGGACCAAATAATGACAAACTGGAAAGGTTCAAAGTTTTTTTTTTTTGTTTGTTTGTTTTAGGGGTGTCCCAATCGATATTGATATCGGATATCGGTCCGATATCAGCCAAAAAAATGAGTATTGGATTTTATCGGACTGCATAAAAAATGTCCGATATAAGCGCTCCGATATTAACAGTCCGTTCCAGCAGTTCACTGCCTCTGCTCCAGTGTTTCTATCCAGCAGCGCTTGGATCCAGCATGCAGAGCTCACGTGATCACAACAACATGCTGTGCTAACAAGTTAGCAAGAATTTTGGGAGAACTTTCTATTTTCATCAGAAACAGAGTTGCAGCTAAGTGCAAAGTTGTCACGCACAAGTTTTCCGAGGGGGGGACACAGAACCGTGAACGTTTTAAACCGGAGCGACAACTACTCTCCACCCTGGAAGCAGCTTTGCAGTTCGGCTCGGTTCGTTCAGCCTCGGTCCAGTGACCGCACACAGCCGCGCTGTTTCAGAACCTCCTCTCTGGTCCGGTCGGTGGTTCTAAGCTGGCAGAAGCAAGGGCAGCACGCTTACAGTTTTGACATCTTGTGGATTAGCTCTGGGATTGATGGACAGAAGAAAGGAGAGCGCAGCTTTTGTTTTGGAATATAAGCGCGACATGAGGAGAGCAGTGCTAAAAACTGCTCCCTGCAGGAGAGAGAGGCTGATCTCCACATGATGCTCAGAAAATGCAGCAGTAAGAAAGGTAGCTATCAATTTAAATAACTGACTAATACTTACTATTTGTTTTTGATCTTGTTATTAGAGCGATGTTTAATCTGTTTACACACTTGTTTGAGTGAAGATTAAGTGCAATGATCACATTGTTTTAGTTGCAGTCAGTAAAATTGGAGCTGTGGACTCTTAACTTTGAACAGACAATAATGTGGGGTTTTGTTTTGTCCCCACCTTCAGTTTTTTCCACCATAAAGCAGCACCAGGCTGACAGTTAGTAAAACAATAACCGAAGTGATTTTGAAGTGTTATTTTATACTTTAAAAGAACATTTTGTTTTATTTTTCAGGGTTTTATAAT